GCAAGTCTTGGCCTTGGATCACATGAAACTGAGAGCAGATTGAAGATGAGGTTGAGAGAATCAAGCTCACTAAAGAGATATTGAAGTCGGGATTAATATAATCCAGATTTTGCACTTGAGGTTTTACAGCAGTGTGATTACTGGTAAACGAGCATCGGCGAGTGAATCTGCAACATTCTGAAGATAAAAAATCGCCTCGCTATCAGGAGTGTCTTCTCTTGTCAGATCCAAAATGGCTTTGTTGGGTTTTGCTAGCNTAGCGTTGTGGCAGTGCTAAGGGCATTGTTGAGTCATTTTGGCTTTCGTCTTTGGTATCCTTATTTCTTTTGGTTCTTGTGTGGGTGAAGAACACCCGATCGACACACAAAAGTGGGCGATCACTTGCACTTTTTGTCAACTTATTCTCCAGTGGCCCACAATTTGACATGTCAACCAAGCCGTTCCAATTTTTGAACAATTATATAGACAGTGAGAGGCCATTCCATTGTTTGTATTGATGCAAAATACGCCTACACACGAACTAAATTTCATGAATGCGTTTTTCGGAACCGCAACCAAAGGCCATCGCGGTTGTGAGAGGGGCCTCAAAGGTTTGATTTGGAAAAGACCTTGAAGTCCATCCCATTTACTCCTTTTCCTGTACGGTATTTGTTTTTTTACTTATTCCGAGGGAGGAGCTTCTCGTTGTTTCTAAAAATAGAACTACCCACACCGGTGTCCCCGTTTTCATGTAAAAATAACTGACGTTACACAAAATCCAGTTTCGAACGAAAAATAGCGAGGGGAGTTGGGCAGTAGCGAGAGAAGAAAATCTATATTTAGAAACACACACAATTGTTGTTGAACTGAATTGAATCATTTGATTTCTTACTTAGAGAAAAGAGCACTTTGGGTCAGAAATATCATAAAGCATCAACGGGTCTTTTGACTTTGATCGAGGTCTCTGAGATAATACGCAAATACGGGCCATTGAGCCTCTTTTGTCCCGGATATACTTCAAGCTAGGGTTATTTCTGAGTCACACACAGTATATTTCAAAGCGAAATAACTGCAATAACTTGGAAAGGCGAGAAGATAGCTCTCATTCGTAACGAATATCCACACTAGTCTTCGCCCCCATAAGTGACCTCTTTTCGCGTTTAGTTCAGAAGCGACACAAATAAGCATTTGAACACAACGAATTTGCCATAGCCTCCTCCTCTCAACTTTGGAAAAGGACTCTCTTTACAGAATTTCTAGATCTGTGGGTACATATCAGCTTTTGTTCAGCCCCCCCTTGGTCTACTTTTGTTTGATTACATTGTTGGCAACTGCTCTCGAGGGAGTCCTCTGCCAGAACATATCTCTCTTCCTCCTCTCTTTACACCTTTTCTGACACCATATTCCAAGGGTGCTGGAATCGAGATTTTAAAGCCGCATGATTGTGTATTAGCTTCGTAATTCAGTTACAATATCGGCAGAAGACAACAAGAACACAGCCCGGTCTTAGAGAAGGATGTAACTTAAGACAGTGCCAGTTTGAAAGATTCTATATCTGACCAGCAGGAAGTATCACGTCTGATTAACCCTATGATTTGTGTATTCGGGTTGGTAATCGAAAATACGCAGTGAGTTAGGATCAATGCACATTTTTAACTCGCTCTCATGGTCGATAAGCATCCCAGCATCATGAACCAACCAGCTGATACTTCTGTTTTGTAATGACATCTATCTCGACTTGCTCTTTGCTATAAGTTGCAAACAATGCAGAGAGGTGGCTCAAAACGAGTGGTTTTAGTGTCTGTGTAGTTTTGTGTCTTCTTCCTTCCTCTTCTTCCTCTTTTATTTCTACGCACACAACAAAGATTTTTATGAAACTTCGAGCTCATGATGATTAATTGAAGTCATCACACAATTCACTTGGTCAAAATAGGAATCCCCCCCCCTTCCCCCTCCCCATCATTAAATTACCACCCCAAGAGAAGGCAACAGTGTGTCCAAGGATATATCCTCTTCTCCTACAGCAAGTCACTACAACTGTCATTCCTTTACAAATATTATTGCCCAACAAGTAGAAGAAAGAAGGAGAACGCATTATGGGTAGGAGAAAAATCGAGATCGAGCCATTGTCCAAAGATAGAAATCGGACAGTAACATTTGTCAAGCGTAAAGCCGGTTTATTCAAAAAAGCCCACGAGCTAGCGGTCTTGTGTCAAGTGGATCTATCAGTCATAATAGTGGGCAGTAACAACAGAATCTATGAGTATTCTACTGTGGACACTAAAGAAGTATTCAACTGCTATGAAAGGATCGTGCAAACTAGGAAACATGTACATGAGGAGAAGTCTCCTGAGGACTATCTGGTATATCGCAAAAAACGTCATTTGCATGAACCATTGACCGATAAACAGGGGCACGTTGTGGGCACGGGCGCACCTTTGAACGATGACGACGTTGACAATGTTATCTTGGGCGATGACGAGATTGATGAAGAAGATGGCGATACCAGAATGGACGACGCTGCTGAAGGGGAAACACCAACACGTCTCAGAAAGAAGCCTCGAACACGCCAAAACACCACTGCATTAAGCAAGAGTCGAAACCCAAAGGTTTTCAATAGTAAGAGCTCACCTCCTCCACCCCCTCCTTCACAAATATCACTAAATAACGTACCACCTTTCAACAAGTACAAGAAACCAGATATCACTGTTTCAAATCATCTGCAGAAACTGCCAGCACTGAGGCTGTTGCAAAACACGCCTTCGCCGAACATGGGACGCAAAGAAAATTCTTCTCGACCAGTTTTGCGGGTACAGATCCCCACTGATGCCAAGGGTAACCAAACTAAGTCAGAGACATTCAATTTAGATATAAAGGGATCGGGTTCTACAGACACGGCACGAACCGTAACCGCGGTTGAAAACACTAGCTCCTCAATAAATTATTCATCTACAAATCATACCGGAGTCAGCGGCAGTACCAATGGAAGCCACCAAGGAGTCAGTCATGCTCAGCATTCAATGCACATTGGTACTGCTAACCATTTATTGCGTAATCAAACTTCGTCATCGTCAAAGCTCAGTGGCTACTCATCGTTTCGATCGCCAGATTCGAGAAAGCCGACATTGCCATTGCCAATAAATTCCAAATCTCAAACTTCTTCACCAGCAAGTGCCACTTATCCTGGCCTCCCTAATCCTTTGACTCATGCAGGAGTATTCTCCACCAATAGCCGCAGCAGTAGTAGTGGGAGTAATTCGAACCACAATCCAATCGGAGACCCTGCCACGTTGGGAGAACGGCAGACAGGCGGTTTGGGAAATAATACTGGCAACAGCAATGCTGTAAACACTGATAACAATAACTTGTTTTCACCTTCTGTCATAAATCTTAATTCAGGGAATTTTTATCCAGTCAATCAAGGTTCTTCAAACAACTCGTACATGAACTATTCTACGCAAGGGTTCCCCCAACAATACCAACAATACAACACAAATAATCAACATAATCAGACTCTGCGATTGCAACCGCAACTGCAACCGCAACTGCAACCGCAACTGCTGGCAATCCCCAAAAGTGCTATGATTTCCAATGAACTGGCGGTACAACTTCCCTCGGCAACACCACAAGACTCGGCAACTAGATTCTGGTCGCAGGTGCCATTGACACAGCTAACTCAACAGAACCAGCAACCAACGTCGCAACAACTCCAACAACTTCAACAATTCCAGCAACTCCAGCAATTTCAACAACTCCAGCAGCAGCAACAACAACAGCAGCAACAGCAGCTGCAGACCTTCGGAAACAACAACGCAAGCAATTTCAATGGAGAACAAACACCGGTATCAGCTTTGCCGTCACGCTACATGACTGATATCTTCCCATTCCCTTCACCATCCAATCTCTTAGGTCCTCAGGATTGGTCAACAGGCATGACTCCCACTACTTCTCAAGTTCCACAGTTCTGGATGAGTGGGTTACCTCCAAATAGTGCTGGCGGCTTTAGTGTGCAACCTAACCAGCAGCAAACACAACAACTGCAACAGCAATTACGTCAACAGCAGCAACAACAACAACAACAACTGCAAGAACAGCAACAGGGGAACTCTAGCTCTCTTGGCGATGATAAAGGGAATGCCAATGACGGAAGTAAGAAAGGAGCAGTGCGGTCATCAGCAACCTCAACTGCAGCAGTTGCCGGATCACGAGAAGTGTCTTTCAGTGCTATCGCTGAGGAGGATGAGAATGCAAGTGCTAGTGGCAATCCTGATAGTGGTGCGTCTACAAATGTTGAAAAAGGCAGCGAAATCACTAACCAGAGTACTACTGATGCTCCTTCTACATTGTCGAAAAAGTGATTTTTATCGACCAACGCTCGTCCTTTGTTCATGGCACCGTAATTATGCAACTACAAGTATTCCTTACTCTTAGATCATTTTTCCCATTGACTGCTTGCTCCAAATATTACATCATTTCAAAAAATGAGGTTGAAATTTTACTTCTTTAGCGATCTACAGCTTTGTTTTATTTATCGGACAGTTATATTTGTATGTTCTCTAGGGTAATACTGGAAAGAGCAAAAAGGTGTAGAATAGCCCAGCTTCAATGCTTTTCTGGGGTTATGAGACTAGCACACTACGCTCCCATAGCCACAATGATCATTGCAAATTGCTTCTTGGTACTCTCATCGTGATTACTACTGCACCCTATTGTTTGTGCACTTGGTGAATAAAATCAAAACCGGAAAAAAAAAAAAAAACAAGATTGAAATCAAACTCGCAAAGCAAGCCCTCGTAATAAACGTCAACAAAATTTGAGGTCAGAAACGGTGAATAGGGCGTAGCATGGACAAGTGATTATGTTCAGAAGTCCGGGAAAAAGTAAACTGAAGCAGCACCAAGCTGAAGGTCATCATCAGTACACTTCGCAACGTCAACAAACACAACAAGGTCGTATTCCACCGCCACCATCCTCCCAACACCAACAACCATATCGTACAACGCAACAAAATTCTTTCCATCCCCATGGGAACTCAAATTACTCTCCATTACCAGGTGATAATGGTGCCCCCTCTCCCATAAAGTCATCATTTGGATCAATTGGTCGTGAGGGGTTTACCGGAGGCTCTGCTACCCCGGGTTCGCCGAGTGAAATTAGTGCTCACTCCAACCCAGAACAGCAACATAAACAAACGGGGGACAAGATTACCGCAGATTGCTACTCCAAGAGCATTTTGAGTAATGGACAAAAGGTACACGAGGTCTCCTACATAGCACACATCAGCGTGCAAGAGTTTCCTCACTTCTCCACCCACCCACCGCCACCCAATGTCAACCCGGGGCCACCAAAGAACAGAATATTGGTATTGTGTAAGAAGTATTCGGGTAGAATGTTGTTGCAAAAGGGAAAGTTTCTGGAGGAGGGGCGGTTTCAAGTTGGAAGAACTTGGGATTTATCTGAGTTGCTGTTTGTGAAGAAAGCCGGGTCGGACGGAATGATTTTGACCATCACCAAAGATTACTACTGGAGGTGTGATGAGGACGAATCGAGGATTTGGAAATTTTGTCGGTATTTGTGTCAGTACTATGGAATCGCCACTGGACATTATCCAAGAATGGATGGGTTTTCAGTGAATGAATTTATGTTGCCAGCTGTGCCCAAATCACCAACACAAACTGCTAGTCCGACTTTCCAATCCATTCCGAGACAGGAACCCACTAGAACCCATCTAGCTTCACCAAAACCGGATTCAACTCATGCAACAAAATCATTGAGACAGAAGATCATCCACAAGCCGTCAATATTTTCCCTGGATAAACTGTCTCATAACGGCAAACAAAATGTGGAGCATGTATCAGCGCCAGCAGCTAAAGCTAATCCTACACATAAGAAAACTCTTAGTGGTGGTACATACAATGGCTTGGATTTCACCGTTAATGGTCAGTTGCCAAAGAAACCCATGCAGGTCATGCAAAGAGATTCCTCTTCAATGAACAAATCGCAAACTTCACTTGACCCAAGTTTAAAAGCATCATCCTACCAAAGAGAAACCGACCCGGGACAGCAAAATTTCAATCAAATGGCTAATAGGAACGATGATAAAAGCATTCAAAATACTACTAAAGATCAAAGTTATTATGCGCCACACGCTGATTCTATGACCACGGTGGATGGTAGACAAAACAGTGGTACCGAAAACAGTCACAAGTCGCATCCTTATGCACAAAAGCTTGTGAATGAGGATTCGAGAAGTCTTATGAGTAGTGACTCTCATAGTTTTGTGTTTGGGGCCAATGATTTGAAAGACAGTAAGCAAGATCAGTCCACAAGGGGTACCGATTATAGTACATCGCCATATAAGACCAAAACTACACCTCAGCAGGGCGCTGTCAAAAGTATGCTCGAGCCTCTTGAATCAGTTAAGGAGCGTGGCGATTCAAAACCCGAATTGAACTACAACAACGGACAAACATTGGAAGAGTTTCCATCGGTTGAGCAAGCAAGGGAACGGGAAGGATCATCCTCGTCAATTCCTAGGTCTGCCAAGAACTCAATAGGCAGCGAGAGGGTCAATCATCAAAGAGATGATCTTGCTAGTGCTTCTTCTCAAAAGAGATCTCTGGTAACAGGGCTGGGAGGCGTGTACAGCCATCAGCGAACGCGACTGCAAGGGGGCTCTTCTTGGAGCTTCAACGATCGTAAAAGGGATACAACTGATCAGTCTGGCGTCTATAAACAGTCCAACAATTTGCCTAATGATTCAATGTTTATCGAAGAGTCCACACAATTGGAAGGAAGTAACAACGTAGGCAAGCACATGAAGGAGTTGGAAGGAATGTTGGATTCTCATATAAGTGGTGGTGTACATGATGACTCATTTGACTTTAATGAGGTTGTTAACTTGAATGATGAGCCCGAGAAACCAATTGCAACCCATGCAAAAGCACCTCAGATAAGCAATGTTGATTCTACTTTGGATGATGATGATGATGATGATGATGACACTCATAGTATTTTGGAAGAAACATTTGAACCAGGCTTGAACATATCTAAGAAAACACCAACTCCTACACATGAAGGTCTTACTACCCGTTCTTTGTTACCTGACTTCGAAAGAGATGTGGAAGCTGAGGAGTTGTTGAGAGAATTGAACTGGAGCTCTAGCATGGATGCCGATACGCTTGTCAAAAGCTTGAACAAAGAGTTGAACAAGACTAAACAGGAGACTGTTAAGAGATTAGTTGATATTGATTTATCCACCACTACCGCGAATGACATTGGTGCTGCAAGTAGTGAAGTTGAACACATGCTCCGCATATTTCAAAAAATGGAAATCAACTTTAAGATGTTGAATGCAGACGTGAATGTTATCGATGAGAATTCGAAAGGATTGCAGTTGAAATTTGTCAATAAAAAGTCATTGTACGATGGTTTGAATGGTATATTGTCCAAAGTATCTGTTGGCGCCGAAGACTTGCGAGATATAGGCGAATTTAAAAACTTTGGCACGACAAGTGCTATTGGCGCCCTTGAATCCAAGTTGTTGAATTTGTACAATGGTTTGATCACGATAAGATCAGACTCTTCACATGTTAATGATGGACAAGATTTGAGCTCATTGAAAGCGTTACAACAATACAAGAGCAAGTACGAAAGTGTCAGTAGCAGATTCGTGAGGCATTTCTATGAATTCATGAAGACTAGGATTGATATTATTGCTAGAGAATTGTTGAGCGATGTGGAAAATGAGGACCCCAGATCGATTTCCCAGCGTTTATCTCAACTTCTTGTGTACAGTGGAATTACGTACTATTTGAAGGAGATTGGCAAAGACTATTTTTATGAAATCAACAACTTATTCAATGTGACATTTTCAAAAGTCTTGGAGAAATCATTGAAGGGCAAATTGAAGAAGATGAAATCTGATCAAAGGCAACGTCGCTCAAAATTGGGCTCGTCCCAAATGGAACCATCAGCAATATCCACAGGGAGAAGACTGCAGAGATTTTCGTCGACTCCCCCATTGCATAATGATTCAGATATTGAGGATGATATGGAGGATGATGAAGATTTTGCTCCGTTAAGAAAAGGAAGGTCTCTGAGATTTGCAAGAAAAGGAGCTGGGACCAGTCAGAGTATCAACAAAAACAGGGAACTTGATTCGGAAAAGCAGGAGCAGTTGGAGTCTCTAAAGAGGCATATGATCGGCAAAGGAGGGTCTAGCGACGAGTTGGAAGATTCCAAATCCGTGATAGGACTTATTGAAGGGGCCAAGATGATTGTGATGATTTTCCAATATTTCATTGTTTCATTCTTCCATTATGATGCTGCAACGCTTGATTTTGCCGAGTTTTTAGAAACCAAGCCATTTGACACTAGAGAGCAGTTTGCTGATCCTGCGTATTTTGCCGATCTTGATTTCACTGATATCGGTAACAATTATTCAGTTTCCAATGATGTAATTGTGAACCTTGACAAAGTATTGGGTGGGTTTATTACTACGTTTATCAAGATTGTCAATCCTATTGATATCAATGTACCTGTGATTTTGTTGCATATTGAGGATATAATGAAATTAGTTCAGGAATCAATGATTAATCAAGACTTTTTAATCTACAATTTTCTTCAATTGGTTAGTGAAAAGTACGAAAGCCAGTGGAGAAAGTTTGTCAATGGGCAAATTGACGCAATCAAGAGCTCAACGATTGTTCCAAACAGTGGTATACTATCATCAGTTAAACAAGTCAATTATATCTTGTTGATCACCGAGACATCGATAGGCGGTCGTGACATCAAGGGAACCAAGGTTCGTGCCATTATCGATAAGACGTATGTCGAGTTGACCGATGCGTTAATCAATTTGTTTTCAAGAAAGGATCCATTAGTGAATAGTGGAGGGTTTGACGATAAGGAGCGTGAATACAAAAATGTGGCCATTTTAGAAAACATCTTTTACATTTTACAGCAGCTTAATGATATTGGATCGGCGAACAGTTCCACTAAGAAATTGCTGGAGAAGTTGACGCAAAATTTCAAACGAATTGAGGACATCTACTTTGCCAAACAAGTTTACAAATCCATTGGCAAATTAGTTGATTTTATCGAAGATTGTGAGAAGTCTTCTGCAATTGCCTCGTCAACGCATCATCATCATCAACTGAATCTGGCAACTCAATCAATCAAACAACAACATCACCACCACCAGCAAAAGAAACTTGCCAAGTCGCTATTGACGCAATATAGTGAGGATGACATTAAGGTCAAGGTTGAACTGATTCATGATTCGTTGGAAAAGCATTTCCGTAAAAGTTATGATCAATCTGGTGGACGTAGCGGTAATGATAATTTATTCACTCGTGATTTGATCGATAAATTATGGAGCGATTTGGAGACGGTTTTCATTGATTATTTTACAAGGTTGGGAAAGATTTTGAGGCTGCATTTCGATAGAGAGATGGATTATCATGTGGGAAGACAGGATATACATCACATATTTAGATCGATTAGAGGGTAAAGGTGTTCGCTGAGTGAAAAGCCTGATTTGATAACAAACTACTTGATTTCGTCTGAACTATGCCTCTACTTCGTCTAGCAACGCAAACTTGTTACTTGTCGATAGTGTTTTTTCTCTATCCTCTTTGTCCCCTTCATCAATATTGCCATCATCACCGGTTTCGTAAAACTTCCTCACATACTCATCTTCTTCCATCTTTTCAATCTCGTCCTCAGTCAACTGCTTCTTCGTCGCTTCTTCAATCATATGATTTCGAATTTCGATGCTTGCATTCGTCTTGTCCCAATTTGATTTCCGGGCATTTTGAACATACTTTGCTCTCGCTATACTTGCATCGATCTTTGTAGTCAATATATCTTTCAACTTATCACTACGATCGATTTTGCTCTTGAGGGAAGTGGACGATGATGACTTTTTCTTGCTATCATGTTGTTGTTGTTGTTGTTGTTTGCGGATTCGTGACGCTTCTATTTTTTTGTTGAGCAAAGTTTCATTTTTGATCTGGGTCCGTATTATTGATTTGCGGACTCCGTCATTTTCGTGTGCTTCTTTAGTTGTAGTGTGAATGATTGGTGCATCTACATCATTCACTTCGCCCCTTCTTGCTGCTCTGCTTCTCTTTGAGACTGAATAAGGTTGATGTTAGTAAATTTTCAGAAATGCAGCTTCATTTATTCAAGTGAAACATACTCTTCTTAGCCATTTTCTTGTGTTCGTACAGCTATTAAGTGTGTCACTAATCACGCATTGCTACACTTCTCTCATCCAGATATAATTCCAAAAAAAAATAAAAAAAAGAAAGGACCATTTTCAGATGATATATCACGTGAATATCAGCTGACCAAATATACACACGTGACTATACGTTTTGTGAGTCTTTGTATTTGGAAAGTCTGAGCGCATTGACGCATAATTTTGTGTCATGTAAGTTCCTAATTAGGCACTTTTGAATGCGCGTGCATATTAAAACAAAACTATCAAACCACCTTCAGCACATCACTTAAAACGAGTTCTCATATAAATCATTTCCAACTTCCATTTAACAGATTTTACCTTCGGTTCTGCTCTTCAAATCCGCTTCTGTTTGCCGCCCTTCAAACCCCGTTCAATAGACATTGTTCGCTTCCTCACTTTACCAAAATCACCATGAATACAACACCAACATTAATGACATCTACGAATTTATCAAATAACACTTTTCCTGTTTCTTCTTATTCGACTCGACTCAACACAGGAATCAAGTGGTGTCTTTGACTTCGCAATTCCCCCCTCATGCAAGTACCAACACAAGTGTCTCATAATAGATTTTAATTATGGAAACATCGATAAGTTATACGGCATAACCGGTGATGCGAAGATTACGATCATAATCGATCACAAGTTGCTACATGCCATAACTGCAGGTCTGGACCCGCAAGCAATGGTCGATTTAATCGATGTTCTCATCGATGATTTCACTTTTGAGAAGGTGAATATCTTGGTGAAGAGGACAAGCGATGATATGTTGCAATTAAAGAAATTTTTACACTTTATCAATTCCATATGTGAAGTGAGGTTAATCGCTGATTTAAATCTGCTTTCGGAAGGTGAATCTTTAGATCCATACGATTGGGTTGGGTTAACCTGTGATTTGTGATAAGATTATATAGTTCCATAGTATATGTAAACCGTAATGAAAAGGAACGAATTTGATCCTGGAAATGAATGAGGTCACAGCTCAAGTCATCAGTCAAGCTTCAGCTGGCCGTCTCACGTTGAGTTTCCGACCCATTCTGCTCTCTGGTATTTGCTTTCTTGACAGCTTCAGCATACTTCTTCAAAGCTGTGCTCAAACTAATCTCCATTGGTTCCAAACACGCGTCAAAATCCTTATGAATCTTGTCTTTCAACTTTTCATTCAGTGTAACTATGTCAATAGCATCCAACTGTTGCAAACTCTTCTCTTTGAAACTGGTTAGTGAAACTTGACAGTTTTTTATACTCGTGAAAAGCTTCTTTAACTGGGTTGGATTGTTTCCATTCAAGAACAATTTCCAAAAATGAGACAAAAACTCAACAATTGTTATATTGTAAGTGATGATTTCTTGATACATGGCATCAGGCACGATGTTATGAGGTGGGTTGTGAAACATCAATGAGTCCTCTTTATTGACCAGTTTGAAAGTCTTGTAATTTTGTCTAACGAGTTGTGATATCTCAATTGACGTTTTACTGATATCTTCTTCTTTACCTTTAAATGTATCCGACAAATCAATTATTGATTGTGTGGGGATTTGGCCTTGCAAGTAGGACACCATATTAAAGTCATTCATTTCAACATTAATGGTTTCTCCATCGTGTGGGTTGTTGTTGTTGCTGCTGCTGCTGTCATCTTCATCTACTCCACTAGGCTTGATATTGTTGGAATTGATGTTCAACTTTACATACTTTGTTTCATTGACCATATTCAAGTCATGTAAATCCAACTCCTCTTCATATTCATTGACCTCAGCAGCAGATAATCCATCGACAGCTTTTTCAGGTTTAGCCGGATTTTCAACGCCACTCATACTCATCATTTTGGACGACAATTTATTCATATTCTTCATCAATATAATCATCTCATTTTCCCTTCCAGAGGAGCCAGACCTTATATTGAGTGCCTTTGTCGCATCATCCTCGTATCGCATTGTCATATCGGGTCGGTTACCCAATTTCTGGGAATTGTCTTCTTGATTACCAAACAAGTCAAGAAACTTATTCACTGGTGGCTCATTTATAAAGCTACTCAGCCCAGTGTTTGGATCTGCGTTTGCCAATTTTTGTCTTTTGGGAGAATTTGCTTCTTCTTCTTCGCCTCGTTTAGCATTTCGATGTTCTTCATTCAAGCTATCTTCATCAATGTACAAGTACTTGTCCAATATGACATCACCTCTTCCACTATACAACCCAATCTTGTCTCCTCGCAACCTTCGGAACAATTTGGAGTTGAAAAAACGTGACCAAAATTCTCCCTCCAGTAACTTCTGGGGCACTAAATCGGTAAATGCCTTTTTGATAATGGGGTAAATGTCGAAAATCTCACTAATGGTGCTACGTGTAACATTGACATTCACTTGATTATCTGATGTCGCTACCGGTTTGATTGTGCTTAGGACATTGTATGGACCTCGATGTTGTGATATCGTTAGTGCAAATGTTCGTAACTGGTTTATTCGACTTGACCAGAACATGGTGGGTGACAATTTGAACTGCATCACTGATTTGGTGAATGTGTTTCTCAAGTTCTTATCCTCTAGTAATAGCTTTTGCTGTAGCTCAAAGTTTTTGAGTAAACTGGCATCGGTCAATTGTTCATGTGTTAAATTGAATGCACTGGAGATGGATGCTGCTCCGGGAGTCGTTGATGAGCCAGATTCAGTTGCTGTTCCAGCTAAACCAGGTCTGGGCGTACCAGAGGAAGACCCAGGTCGACTAGATCCTTCACTCTGTGGCGTTGGAGTGATTGACGACCCTTCAACTCTGGTTCTTGATCTAGCAACGATTGTCTGTAAAGCATCCTTGATGTTATTCATGGTGGGCCGGTTGTTGAAATGGAGTGTCATTTTTGTCGGCTCTTGTTCCGCTTGATCGTCTAACTTGTAACTTATCTTTAGCATCATTTTGGGACTTGATTCTTTGGAAGCTTGGAGGGCTACGAGCTTATTCAAAGGTATTGCTAGGGTGTTTTTTTCGTCCTCAACGGCTTTCCATTCTAGCATTGACGGCACGATATCCTCTCGTATGTAGACCATGCCACCCACCTTGTCTTTGGAGCAAGCGCCTCGAATAACATCCATTATGTGGCGACTTTGGTTGTGTGATGTAGAACGTGACGCGGAAAGGTAATTTATTAAACTTGAAAGATGTTCTGATTTTTCACCAAGAAAGAAAAAAAAAAAAACAAAAAGGATTTCGAAACTCGGCAGAGCCATTCATCAAACTAGACCAACAGGATCGACTATGATATCTAGACTTACCATTGGCAGAGCAGGGCTTGCATCAAGAAGCGTGTTACTGACGCGTTCAGTTTGCAGATCTAGCTTGTTATTACAAGAGATACGACAACAACAACAACAAGAAAAATCTGCTTTTTCGACAACTCCATTGTCATCATCCTCAAGTATCCCACATCTGAAGCCAGTAACATATAAACCTCCTGTTACTATAGACAGAGAACTCCCGGACCCTTTTGTCAAACGTGATCAAAACAGAAGATACTTTGTCTTTTATTCAGTTGCAGTGGTTGTCACATGTGCCATCATATTCAATTATGAAAAATCATCCTCCCCCATAGTCAACTCAACATTGTATTTCTTGAGAAGATCAAGTATTGCTCAAGATGCCATTGGTAAAAACATTGAATTTGCTAGTAATTGGCCATGGATTTGGGGTAAACTAAACACAGTACAAGGTGTAATTGATGTTAAATTTAAAGTTAAAGGAGATGAACGCAAAGCGTGGGTTGTGTTAAATGCATCCAGAGAATCCAAAATGCATCCGTTTGAAGTACACAAGTTTGCTTTGGAAGTTGATACGAAGGATTCTAAAGTTGAGTACAATTTGATGGATGATCCAGAATTTGAGTTTGATTTGTGAAGAAAAGAGACATTTTGAAATGAAGAAGAAGAGGAAGGGGAAGAAGAAGAGGAAGAGGAAGGGGAAGAAGAAGAAGAGGAAGTGTTGTTTACTTGTATATTACTTGTATATAGACTTTAAATAAAGAGAGATTGGTGGTTAGGGAGATGTGCAGTTTGTCACTATTGAAAAAGGCTGCAAATTTTCAAATGATAAGAATTAGAGTAAAAGACATAGTGATAAGAGTGGGTTACGTGAATGTGTAGTTTGTTTGTTTTACAACATTTATTAAAGATACCATATCTGAGGACAAAATTTACCATCCTTGCGGAAGTATGAAAACACATAGATCTCATAAAAATTCAAATACAAAAAAACAAACCTAACTGACGTATTCAAAAGACACGACAAACTTTTGGGAAAAGAATATAATACAGAATTGGGAAATGGAACCACTAACATAACGCGTGTGACAATAGGATTGATCGTAATAAACCAGTTGATCATACTGACTTATAACTAATCAAGAATCACCACCCACCCTCCCTACAAAGCAAATCAAAGCAAAGGCTAATAATGAATGAAAAGAGAACCTATGGTTGCTAAGCAAGGTGGAGGCATTAGGGGCGTTGTGATTACGTCCGTTAGCTTTGTTCACTGTTAGTCCAGAAGAAGGAACAAACCATCCGATTGTTCTGAGAACTATTTCTACTCTCGTAAACACATTCGCAAATTTGTATAAACTTTGGCTCATATTTATATCGAGTAAAGTTTGATGATTATACGTCATGCATTTTTGTGTTTTGTGGATGACGTAATGGTGTTGTAATATACACCTGACAGACAACATATGTAATTGTAGTGATTGACATGATAACAATAGCCATTCTTGAAAACGACACAGTTGGAAACTCATCCAGATGCAAAGGATACAGTAATGAATGGATTCAAACAGTTGTAACTGTTCTTATCAGTCTTTATCAGTTTTGCCAAGATTAATAAGGGACAGGGCAATAGTGTTGTTAATTAACTAGCTATTATGTAACTGATTTTGTTGATTAGATTAGATTGAGAAGTCTACTAATACTTCGATTACTGTGTGTAATAATGCACAAAGGATTAAACTATTACAACCAACCACTTTGCACATGTGAGAAAGAGAGATAGACATAGAGAGAGAGTGTGAGAGAGTGTGTGTGCTTGTGTGTGTGCTTGTGTGTATGTGCTTGTGTATGTGCTTGTGTATGTGCTTGTGTGTGCTTGTGTATGTGCTTGTGTGTGTGTGTGTTATAATGTATATTATTATTGTCTATTGTCTTGTGTTTCTGCTATTGTTGAGTCTCTTTTATTGTAATTATTCTACAACAATTGTGTTTGCAAGTATTATATAGTTTGCGCCAGTCCCCCCCCTTTCGAATATATTCACTACTGAACGCTACTAGAATTTGCGGATATACTTTGCTATCAACCACTTCCCTTGACTTGGGACTAGATAGAAGATGTTGATTGGTTTAGCTATGTCAAAAGTATAAAAAGTATATTGGTATAGTTTGTTGAGGTATCAAATTCTCCATCAGTGAAAAGTAAGCAAAAGGAAGAAAGTTTAAGTATTTATAGTAATAAAGGTCATAAATAATATAGCATTGCTTCCATTCTGATACACAAGTACACTACCCCCATCTTCTTCTATCTAATAATCTTCCTCCTTTTTTTTTATATATATTTTTAATTTTAATTCGGGTGTTGTCTCCTTCTTATTCCGAGTTCAAAGAAGAATACAAAGAATGGGTTCAATTTCATTTCCGTTTAAAGTCTCTCCTTCTATTCCAACCAACCAACACAACCAACGCTCCATCTAAAAATAGTAACTCTTTTGTATTGCCTCTCTCTCTCTCTATTGTACTTTGTTTATTGTCTTTTTTTACAACAGAAAGAGACACAGAGACAGAGACAGAGACACAGAGACAGAGAGTGTGTATGTATGTGTATGTGTATGTGTGCGTGTTGTGCGTGTGTGTCAGATTTTCGACAAGAAAAAAAAAAAAAAAAAAGTTGACGATTACGAAGGAAGAAGAAGAAGAAGAAGAAGAAGAAGAAGAAGATAATCCCAGAGATACCGAACAGCCAAAGAAGAAAGTAGCGCGTTCAAAGATTTAATACGAGTTTGTTGTTTCTACATACAGCTATAAAGAACGAACGTCTATATCACAGTCCTTGCACTGTCCAACCACACATATCACCCATTCACTCGCTTTTATTATCCAACATTTAAGGTACAATTTTATTAGTGCTCAAAATTTTTAATATTGCTGTCAAATCATACGTCAGGGTGCTCATTTCTAGATAAACTCAATCACACACACACACACACACATACACATACACATACACACGGCTACCCGCATATACATCCTCTCAAGCAACAATGGTCTATAGCGTTGGATTGGCTGTTGGCTTATCTATTGGAGTGCCTCTGTTTATCATTTTGGTAGCTGGTTTTTTGTTGTGGTTGAGGTATCAGCGTCGTTTACGTAAGGAAGATCTCGATGAGGACTACTTGGACAAGGAGATTCAAAATGACGATAGTAGCTTCCGTCAATTCCAAGAGCAACTACATAAACAACGCGATGTCAAGCCTCGTGACAAGAAAGATGACGATGGGTTACAACTCAAGGAGGAGGTAGTTCCTGTACATGGAACTAGTGATTCATCCAATGGCAGTCTTGAATCAGAGTTACATCAACTGTATGAGTTGGCAGAAGTACAACCACAACCGGATGTCTCCAAACCACTGAAACACCCATATGGACAACACTTGCATTACCCTTCATCAACAAGTCATCAACACCAGCCAAAGTCACAATCATCAACTTCATTAAGCCAGGCACTGGAGGAATTGCCACATGTTCATGATCCACACCACTCTGACTCACAAAATATGCCTTCTCGGAGAGCAGTGCAACAACTGCAACGTCGTAAGGGTGCTGCGCCTCTCCCACCACCACCCCCTCCCCCACATCGCCAATCCTCCAACAAGACTCAGGCATCTGTGTATACCTTTTATGACACGTTTATTCCTACTTTTGGTACACCAGAGCCGGCGTCACAACTGCAGCAAAACAAACTGTCGTCACTTCCAAACTCAACTCACAACTCGTTTAGCGATTTGCTTAATCAAACAGCCCATAGCTCGTTGAATTTACTAAAGAGTGGTCACAAGGATTCGGCAAATAACGATAACGCCGCCACTGCCACTACCGCCACCACCACCAACAACAACAACAACACCAACAACACCAACAACACCAATCAACATAGTCACACAAACAGTGCGTCTAACTCAAACACATCACTTCTCCACAGTGATAACAACAATAACAACGGTAATACAAGCACGTCACACTCACGTGTACCTTCCACTGATTTAGACGCCTTGGCCAAGCAATTGAATAGCCCGCAATTTTTTGAAAAATTACCAAGCAAAGCCGCGGCAGCACAAGGTAAAGTTTATATAAAACCACGTGTGCCAACATCCTCAAGCAAGCCCCACAACAACTCAAGCTCGGAATTGATAAATAATTATCTTGTTGGTGAAAACACAGCGTTGAATGATCATTTCAACTATGTTGCACCAATGGTTGAAACTGCTGATAGCACAGATAAACTTGCACAAGTACAAGTACCAGCACCAGCTAGTGGTGATGGAAGGGGCAACACATTGACATATAACCAATATCTCAGTGCAAAAGCAGCAACAGTTGATCCGTCATTAAGACGCCCCAGTCAAAGCAAGGAAGACGAACAAGATCAAGCGGAAGCTATACAGGAAGCCAATCCCTTAAATGGCCAAATTGGAAATGCTTTCGATGCTAATATCTCTATGGAACCCACGGCTATGAACAAAAAGAATACAACTACTAATGAAGATGAAGATGTAATGCCACCAGTTGTGTTTCAGTAAAGAAGGGAGAGTCGAAGTTGAATGCAGTGCATTTACAACGACACAAGAGAAAGTATATTAGATCTGTTGGAAAGCATATAGAGCCCGGGTTTAGGGCAAAACGAGAAGGAAGGTTTGGTTTCTAGAGAAGGAAGAGTCCGTTCTTAGAGAAGTTGTTTTTAGTGAATTTGATTGGTTTAAAAGATTGAATTTGAGTTACTGGTTCGTTTATATATATATATATATATAATTTATCAACTTTTGCGCATTCTGTTGGTTTTAAGATTATATAGTTGCAACTTTCATCTTTGATAGATGGTACTTTTGTTCAGATATGCATTGGGGTTGTACATTGGTTTTACTTGTGTTGGAGGTGTAAGAGTGGTCTTTCATGTCAACTCAGGTTATCTTGGCACTTCGTGTTTCTCCCTCAGTTCACCTCACCCTCCAATACTTAGCTCCAAAGCATCTACAATATCAACAATACTGTAACTAAAAATCTCCCTTTTGAAATTTATATTATACACACTTTACACACAATAACCACTTTGAAAAAATCTTGGATAGAAACTGAGAAAAAGATACTACATATCACATCCCCTTTCAGTTCATCTAGTTTTTCAAAGATTCAGCTCTCTTCTTCTTGATTTGGACTCTTTCTTCCTTTCTTTCATGCAATCTCTTGGCCAACAATTGAGCGTACTCGGCAGCAGCGTCTCTTTGATGTTGAGCATTCTTAACCTTCTTGGCCTTCAAAGCTCTCTTTCTTTGCAAGGTTTGAGGGGTAACCAATCTTTGGATCTTTGGTGCTTTAGTATAAGTCTTGTCACCCTTTTCAATAGTTCTTCTAACAACGTAATCTCTGACATCGTCTTCTTTGGTCAAACCAAAGAATTTTCTAATGTGGTTGGCTCTCTTTGGACCCAATCTCTTTGGAACGGTGGTATCAGTCAAACCTTCAATGTCAGAGTCACCTTGTTTAACAATAGCCAAGGACAAAACTGACAAATCTTGAGCAACAATACATCCTCTAACGGATTTTCTCTTACGTTCACCAGTTCTTCTTGGTCTGTAACATGAGTGACCGTCGGACAACAATAATCTGACTCTGGTTGGGTGCATGACACCTTGCTTCATTGGGAAACCTTGCTTGTCGTTACCACCAGTGATTTTGAAAATGTAACCCTTGAATTCGTCTCCAACAGAGTCTCCTTCAACTTCTTGGCCCATTCTCTTTTCGTAGAAAACACGCAATTTGTGTTCGTCATCAATGTCAATACTCTTTTGAGTACCGTTGGCTGGGTAGGAAATGTTCAACTAGAAAAAAAGGGTTGTTTTGTTAGTATTTCGTTCATTCAAAAAATGGCAGATAGCAATTAGATGTAATGGATGCTAATAGAGAGGTGGAAATGGGAACGAAGCGGTGGCATTATTGTACCCTGTGTGAGATGTAGTCAAAAACATTCACTCTAATTTTGATGTTATGTGATGGAGGATGCTCAAATGAAAGTCCTTTGCACAATGTGAAAAAACACTCTTGAAAATTCGGTGTTTTATCAATAAACCATGCATCCGTTTGTCTATGAGGTTTGTCCTCTATGCTTGAAGTCACGATAATGCTGAAAACTTTTTCGTTTGATTCCTATTGATACTCTTCTGGTTCCCATTCTTGTGTGGTAACCACTATCAATCTCCCTGCCCGACTTTCATCTGTCATTCCCGTGTCTGTATCTCTCTATTTCATCTAACTGCTGTAGCTTGTTTCAATGCATACCTTCATGATGTCCTGTTGTTAAAAGTATGTACTAACTCCTAGCTGTATTTTCGAAATTCTATTAATTTTTTTTTTTTTTCACTTTTTCAAAAATGCTCAATGGGTGCGTAGTAACTGAATTCTCTCGTTGTCTTTGCCTGTTGTCTCTTTCCCTTTTTTTTTTTTGCTTAGCGCATGGTAGCTCTTGCTAACAATCTTTTGTGTGCGCGAGTAGGATAGTATGGCTATAGCCCTAAGTTCTCAAATACACGCACTTGTCATGAATTGAAATTTGTTTCATTACTACGGCAGATTGATGTATAGAGCATAATACAATGATTCCCAAACTCCCTTAGGGGGCCACACAGTTGCAAAATAGAATCAGAGTTCTCTATGTTATTGCACAGCAACTTTTGCTTCGAGAGTGTATAGCGATTATCATAAACACACCATAAGTTATGACAGAGGGTTGCAGTGTGTTTGCCAAACGAATTGCTGTGTGGGGTACGTCTTTACGCCTTCTATAGTTATGCTCTGGTGATGTATTCCTTCGCCATTTTCTTTTCCAACTTTGATGCTCCAGCCAAAGAGCAATGCAGCGTGCAAGGGTTAGCCGTTTCGCAATAAAGTAACATATAAATGCGCGGTTAACATAGCTAACCTCAACAAGCGTGTCCCCGATATCTATCTTCCAAATCGATTTGTTATACTGGAATTGGTTCGCATCAAATTAGCTTCTGTCAACCTTGACTTGAACATGAAAATCATTCTTCTTAACTGGTACCAGCCTTGTAACCCCAATCCAATGTCTAACTTTTGCAATCTAAGATCGAGCTCCCAAGAGTAAAGATCTTTCTTTGACTAATCTACTATGGCTATCAGCACTGATATTGAATTTGGAATAGTGCAGACTGAATGTCTGAGCCTTACTTAAAGTAAACAAATTAGACTAACCCATTCGATATTAAAATCAGACGAGTATTCTGTACCTTCTTCGCCTCCTATGTTTGCGTTGGATTAAATTCAATGTGTATTCTCGCCTCTTCATTGTGTAACGCTGCAACTGAATACGACACCTAGCTCTTCATATTTATAAATTCATCAACAAACATATCTGCAACCAAGCGTTCAACCCACTTCACCTGAACTCGCCAGTTACGAATTAACCCATGAATCAATAAGACTTATCCACACAAAATACGGTGTCTAAAGATCAATAGATTGTAAAACACTCCCCACCCAAAATTCGAGAGAGTACAACAAAGGATAGTATTCATAAATTAAGTGTCTCAATGCTTGAAAGTCATATATGATACGGTTTTTGAAAGATCTTGGCTCCAAATTATGGTCCAGCTTTGACAAAAATCTTGAAAGCAAACTTAACAAACTATACACTTTAGCCTTATCCTCAACGTCGTCTCAAGTGTTACT